TACCTTAGTAATTATATAGAACCTTGTGTTTATTATTACTATGGTGTAATTATCTTCTCTTGTAAGTAGTAAAATAACAATTAAAAAATTACACATAACCTTACCAACTCTAAACTAAACTACTTAAAAGCTTTCAAAATAAAATTGCTTCTCAATATGCTGCCAATACATACTTACTTCTATTCCATATACCCTCTTACTTTTACACTTGATAATTGCTTCTCTTGTAACCAACCAAATACTCCTTCTCACTGGTACACTTGCTCTAATAATACTATTTTAACTCAAACTATTAACTCCTCAATACAGGAAATTATCCTTAACTCCAATCTTAATCTTTCTATACACCAACTTCATAATCTCATACATACTATCTCTTCACATTTTTCTTTTATTTCTTTACCCTCATCCTTTTACCCTTACTCTTTTTATTCTATATTTAAAGGTCTTATACCAATACCACTAATCCAGGCTCTAGACTCCTTTGACATCTCATACTCTAACACCTCTCAACTTATTATACAAATACTTCTCAAAATTTCTGACCAATTATTCTACAAAATATAGATTCCCTACTGTATCAACTTTTCTCACTGAAAAAAAGCACATCATATTCCTTCCCAACCTACCTCTAATACATTATCTAATCTATTCGGACCCTCTTTATATAAATAAAACAAAACTAAATATACTTATAACTGCCCTTGTGGCTTTGCCGATCAACTAACTCTGAATTTAATACTTATCCTTCTCTAGAACAAGCATCTACCATACTTAATATCTGGTCTACTATGTAGATTAGATATAGCATACCTATTAACAATATTCTAACTATTCAAATCTAGATGACTAGTATATCACATGGTATTTGAATATTTGATGAACATCTACAGATATCCAAAATATTATAAATAGACCCCTTTTTCCCTTCCTCAAAATTTAACTTTTTGTTGTAAAAGTTTACTTATAAATAATAAAATATTATTTCTTTTATTATTTTGTCTTTTTATTCTTTTATCTTTTATTATAAGGCTGTAAAAGTATGCTATTGCTAAACCATATGTGTTTTTTGTTTTTTACAGACGGCAATAAGGCACAGCAATTATTAGCCCATTATGTATTAAGGCTCTAAAGTTTTATTATCTTGTATAATTTGTCTTGTCTTTTTTAAATATTAAAAATCTATTGTTATTAAACTGTCAAGTTAATACTCCCTTCTGTTTGCACTTTGTATTGAGTTTAAACCCAAAGCAATAATAACAATATTAATTAATTAGTGTATAAGTATAGAGAATTTTTTATCTAAATGTTTAAATTAAATTTAAAAATACAGCATGTATTTAATACTATATTATATATTTAATAGTTATATCTGGGTAATTGGGTATATAGTTAGTGATTATATACTATATAGAAATAATTTGCAAATATATTAGAAGGTTATTCTAAAACCGTTTTCAATTTAAAAAACAAAAGTGTTTTTTATTATCTGAAAATAACAATCAGTTTTAAAAAAACCTTTAAAATTTTTTTATAAAAAGAATTCTAAAGCTCTGTAGTTTAGAGATTTCTGGAGATTCCTAAGGCTTTATAAGGTAGTTATACACTAAATATCAAAAGTGTAATAGCATAGTTAATAATTTGGCCAAAATTTGGTCAAATTTTGTACTATAAAATTGCAGATCTTTATCAAAAAACAAAATAATCTGCATTACACAACTTTAAAAAATCTCTGACTAGTATAAGCAGAGCTGAAGGTCTTGATTATACATGTAGTGCCTAAAGTATAACTGATTTATGCCTTGCAATCTTGATATAGTGATCTGGGTATTGTTACAGAAAAATTTGGTTGTCCCAGAAATAAGGTCGGAGCTGCGTCAGAAATGCTCCAAAATGTAGCAATATTAGATTTTTAGAACACAAGTAGTATAAATAAGGAAATTACTATAAATAGGTACACTTACGTGTTTATTAACATAATTCTGATTATTAGGTTTAAGCCTAAGGATAATGCGAGAGCAGTGACGAGAGCAGTGATAAAAGAATAATTAATAAAAAGCATCATTAGTTAAAATAATAAAAGGGAAGAGTCGTGTTAGAAAGAGATTAGAAACTCCTTTATTAATTAACTCTTAGCCTCAAAATATTCATTGTTATAAAAAGAGGACCAACTTACCTTAGTAATTATATAGAACCTTGTGTTTATTATTACTATGGTGTAATTATCTTCTCTTGTAAGTAGTAAAATAATAATTAATAAAATTTTGTGAAAAATATAACTTGACAAATAATACAGAAGTATAGATTTGATGCACTAAACTTAACTTAGCACAGCTCAACATTTACTGAGCTAGTTGACAGATCCGAGCACTGAGGTCTAGTCCAGAATCTGACATACTCCAGTTTGAGTAAAGTATTAACTTAACGTATTGTGGTCAGAGTCAGTTATAATACACAAGTAATTCATAAGTTAATAAGAATTAGTAACCATATTACCAACATTATGCCTTTGGTGAGAAGAATAAGAATATAAAGAGTACATTAATAAAAGTTATAATAAAAATACTAATTATCGATTTGTTGTTTATTTAGTACAATTTAGCCTATAACATTTGGTGGTGACTGTGAGATAGAACTTCTTAAAAATTTAGTAGTGACTATGAGATAGAACTTTTTAAAAAAAAAATTGAATACAGAACAGTTTAAAGAAATAATAGAATTGCTAGCCAATTCTCTTACCAACAACTCTAAGGGAAGATTAGGACCAAGAGAAAGTAATATATAAAGATTAAAATTTTTATGGTACCAATAACAAAGATCCAATTGAATGGTTTGATGAGTTCGAAAGAGCATCCGAAGCTAACAATTGGGTTGAAGATTATAGATTAAAAATTACATTGAAATACCTTAAGAAAACAGCAGCTGATTGGTATAAAGAAAATAAAGGAGAGATTAAGTATTGGAATACCTAAGAGGAGAATAAATAAATCATAGCTTTTACCATCTATTAATTGAATACTTTGCCCTACTTGAAAAACTGGGTCAGGGCGTAGTACATTTTTTCTGCAGCACATGATGTAGATCAGTGATAATTCACGATTTTGTCACTTTTTTGTATATCATCTTTTAAATTTGAGCGAAGGTTTCTCTATATCCACTAAACCAAATTCGATAAAATTTTTTTTATTTGAATCCTACAAATATGTAGAACTAAAATAAAAAAAAATTATCGAATTTGGCTTGGTGGTTATCGAGATTCCTTTGCTCAAAGTTTTAAAAAAAACTCAAAACGTCTATCAAGATAGAAGCTGTGCCAAAATTTTTTCAAACTTTGAATGAAGGTATCTTGATAGCCACCAAGCCAAATTCGGTAACTCTTTTTATTTAGATTCTATAGATCTGTAAAATCAAATAAAAAAGAGTTTACCGAATTTGGTTCAGTCGCTATCAAAATACTTTTGTTCAAAGTTTGAAAATTTATAGCGCAGCTTTTATCTTGATAGACGTTTTGAGTTTTTATTATGACTTTGAGCGAAGGTGCTTGATAACCACCAAGCCAAATTCGATAAAATTTTTTATTTGAATTCTACAGTTTTGTAGGATTTGAATAAAAAAAAATTTGTTGAATTGGATTTGTGGTTGTTGTTTAGAGGTTAAAAAAAAATTTGGCACAGCTTCTATTTTGATAGACATTTAGAGTTTTTTAAGACTTTGAATGAATGTATCTTGACAACCACCAAGTCAAATTCAATGAATTTTTTTTTTATTTGAATCTTATTAATCTGTAGAATTCAAATAAAAGGTTCATTGAATCTGGCTTGGTGGTTATCAAGATACCTTCATTCAAGTTTGAAAAAAATTTTGGCGCAACTTATATTTTAATAAACATTTTGTTTTTATGACTTTGAACGAAGGTAACTTGATAACCACCAAGCCAAATTTGATGAACTTTTTTTTTATTTGAATCTGCAAATTTGTAGAATTTAAATAAAAAAAAATTCATCGAATTTGGCTTGGATTTCCATATCGAGGCCAGGCCGTAGTACATCTTTTCCGCAGTACTGATATAATCAGTGATAATTATTTAAAAAACCTTTGTAAGACACTTTGATCGAACTCTTTCTGATTTCTTTTATCAAAGACCCCTTTACTACTGTATTATAAAATTTTCAATTTCTAACTTGTAGAAATCTTTATCAAGTTCTTTTTTATCGAAGACTTTTATTAGATATTGAACCACTTATATTTTTTTAATTTAAAATAGATCAATCTTTTTTTTTTTAAAGGTAAACCAAATATTTTTTATTGATACTTTATAATTATTTAATAATCTAAAAGTACTAATTAAAAATCAAATATAACAACTAACTAAATTTCTAAAATGCCAAGTCAAAACCAAACTATTTTAGATAACTGCCAGAGACGAGTTGAGAAAAATAAATAGATTAAACTAAAAGAATGATATAAGGAAAGTAGTAATTCAAAACTTTTGATTTTGTGAACTAAAAAAAATTAGTAATTTTACAAAAACATAGTCCATGGCTTCGCTTTCCAGGTATTACTACGGTTTGAATTATGCTGTGATGATTTTATATCATTATTGATAGTGAATTTTTGACTCATATTTTCGACTACATTTTTAACATGTCATATATTATTAATAGATAGTTTTTCTCTAAGATGGCTTGCTAGATACTCTAATTTAGCCACTTTGCTTTCATATTGTTGATAGATCTCAGGATCGACCATTTCACTATCACCATCAGCACTAAAAGCTGTGCTAGATTGTACTTGCAAACTAAAATCTAGGTAAGTAACATATCATCTGGCTTACTAGCATCCCAAATAAGAAATGGATAATCTGTTTGTCGTTTAAAATTTTTATATATAAGTCTAATTTCTGAATTTTGTAGCGTTGCCTTCTTGATTGTATGATGAACTAGGTGCTTGCAAATAAGAAATCGACTAAGAAGAAATGAAGGGCAACTACATACCCAACAAGTCAAATTAATCATATAATATTCATTTGCATCATCAGTAATAGGTCTTGCAGCAAGTTGATTCTAGCTTTTTTTAAATTCATCAAACCATTTTGGTGTGACTCAACCAAGTTGTATTTGTTGAAAATGATCTATTTGGTCAGTAAAGCACGAGAACAAATAACCCATATAAGATAATCTAATCATGGTCGATTAAAGCGATTAAGATAACAATGCTTGAGTACTTTCCAATGTGATTCGATCATCATATTTGTTTTTCCAACTGGTATTGTTGTATGAGTTGAACGTGCCCAAAGACACCATCATGATATTTTATACCATGAAGACTATAAGTATGCCCATAATATAATAAGTTCTTTTTTTACACAAAATTCATACAATTCACGTACTGCATTTTCTCGAATTTCTATAGGTCTTAATAATTGATCATCAGCATTTATTGGAATTTTTGAATGCATATTAAAATGTTTTTTAACAAGATTTATAATATCTTTTTGTAGGTTTTCTGAATATACAATATAATATTCTGGCTCAGAACGTGTTAAATCTGGCTTGAAATTTGGATTAATAAAGTCAAACTCAGCAGTAGCTTCTTCAGGTTGATATTTGGTATGTTGTATTCTTTTGCGGCTTCTTAACTTTTCCATTATTGCATGTTCAATATGCCATTGGCATAGCTGTATATGTGCATTTAGCCATGCCTCTTTTGCTGCATTTATCTCAGCAAAATCTTTATCAGTATAAAAATAACCAGGATTTAACCCATGGCTCCGAACAAAATTAAAAAAACCAGCAAGAGTATTTGTTCGTAAGTAATCTTGTGATTCTTTTTTTTGAGCTTTTATAGTGTTTAAAATTAAATAAGATAATGGAAATCCTGCACTGTCAATATTACCAATAAGGCTATATAGTTCAAATCGACCTTTTGCAGTTTTATAAGTCGCATCACAATGAACTTCTGATGCTGACAAAATATTTTTAAACAGAGGAGTTATGAAACCAATTGCAGTTACTTTATCTGTTATTAATTCGAAACAAAGCTTACAGCCAGTATTATTATTTCTAAGGAAGTTAAGTGCTGAAATAACATGGTCTTCATCTTGTTTATATAAATTTTGTGTAAATACTGACCACTAGTAATGAATTTGTTTTGCAGTTATATTTAGAATATCAAATCGATTACGAAGAATTGCTCGAATTTGTACTGGATCCAAATGAAGGTTTGCTTGAATCGCTTGTTTAACTTCTTCTGATACTGTATTGTCTTCTGCTTTTTCATGAAGAATATCATGATGAAGTTTTATTGTTGCTTCCATTGCAGGAATTTCAATATGAATAATTAGTTTGCCATGACAGTCAAACCTTTCAATTCTTTTTCAGTTTGATTTTTTATATTCTCACTCCAATTCGTAAGATTGAGAACATGCAAAATAGTATGTAGCAACATTATCAAACCGAGTTGATAGCCAAGATGATGTTGTAGCAGTCCAGGTATAATCATCTCCTTCTTCGATTTTGTCAATAATTATTTTTACTATTGATTTAGGATCATCAAATGTTGCTATTGAAAAAATATCATCATTAAGATCCAAATATATTTCAACCGAAATTCCATTATTATTATCAGCATTAAAAATTAATTCAGCTATATAATCACTAAGAGCTTGTGGTGCAATCGATTCTATTGTAGTAGTCATGGTGGTGTTATTATCTAAATTTTTTTTTGCAGATCTTTTATCTGCTCTAGAAATAAGACACACATGTTTTATAGGCTTTTCCTTTATGAAAAAAAGCTTCTGGTTGAAGGTCATTATTGCAAGAGTTACATTTAACGATTTTAACAAAAAATAATTTAAATCACGAAAGGTATTTGTTTAAATAATTTAAATCACGAAAGGTATTTGTTTAAATAATTTATTAGAAAATTGAATTCTGATAAAAATTTAAATTAAAAGATGCTGTTTAAATAGATTTTCATTTTTCTCTAATTTTCACGAACGGCTCTCTTTTCAATCAGATCTTTGACGGGCAATTATTTTGGTCGTTAGATAACTTTATACTATGTTCTAGTCTTATTTGGAAACTTGCATACATACTGCAGTAATATGAATTAATTGAAATTTTCTATTTCAGGATATTAAGATTAAACTAAATAAGGATTATATCTATAACTTTTAACTGTTAAATATGTAAGTTTTATATACTTATATAGAAACTCTAAATGCGCACGCATAGTTATAAATTAACGAATATTTTTTTTTAGGATAATCAAAATAAAAGTCAATGGCGTTCAGCCATTAACTATTATTTATGCGTACTTTGAATACTTAATCGAAATATCAAGCATCAACCTAGATAATATTCGAAATAGAGCTAAAGTATTAAAATATAATTTTAGTTATTCTCGTTATAGAATCAAAAAATTTGATGGATATAATAAAAAAATAAATGTTAGACATGTTAGTGTGCTGTTAACAAATAAAAATACTTGATATTAATAAGTTTTGATAAGCTAATTTAAAAAAAAAAAATGGTTTGAAACAAATAATTTGTTGAAATTTTCTTTAATAAATCGGGTATTCCGTAACTTATTTATCTTAATACAAATTTGATCGATTATGGTTTAACTCCCCAAAATCAATTTTACTAAAATACTATCTTACTGAAGTCATAACACTATTATCCAATTTTACTAATGACATATTTTGAATATCATAAAATATTTTCGGTGAATTGGCTTCAGAAAAAAAAAAATTCTTGTTGGGAGATCAGAGTTCAGAGAAAGGGGTTTGTTAGCGAAAAGTCTGTCATATATTGTCAAAAATATGTCTTGTCAGAAAAGAGGATATCAGAATTATGGGATCAGGAAAATAGTATTTCGGGAAGGTATTATGATACCTTCGCTCAAAGTCATACCTTCGTTCAAAGTCTTAAAAAACTCAAAACATCTACCAAAATAGATGCTGCGCAAATTTTTTTTTTAACCTTTGAACTACAACCACAAAGCCAAATTCATTATTTTTTTTTATTCGAATTCTACAAATCTGTAGAATTCAAATAAAAAAAAAATTATCAAATTTGGTTTAGTGGTTATCGAGACACCTTCGCTCAAAGTCTTAAAAACTCAGAACGTTTATCAAAATAGAAGCTGCGCCAAAATGTTTTCAAACTTTGAACGAAGATATTTAGATAACCACCAAGCCAAATTCAGCAAACTCTTTTTTATTTAGATTCTATGAATCTGTAGAATTTAAATAAAAGAGAGTTTACCAAATTTGGCTTAGTGGGTATCTAAATACCTTCGTTCAAAGTTTGAAAAAATTTCGGCGCAGCTTCTATTTTGATTAACGTTCTGAGTTTTTAAGGCTTTGAGTGAAGGTGTCTCGATAACCACCAAACCAAATTTGATAATTTTTTTTTATTCGAATTCTACAAATCTGTAGAATTCAAATAAAAAAAAAATTATCAAATTTGGTTTGGTGGTTATCGAGTCACCTTCGCTCAAAGTCTTAAAAACTCAGAACGTTTATCAAAATAGAAGCTGTGCCAAAATTTTTTCAAACTTTGAACGAAGGTATTTAGATAACCACCAAGCCAAATTCAGTAAACTCTCTTTGATTTAAATTCTACAGATCTATAGAATCTAAATAAAAAAGAGTTTGCCAAATTTGGCTTGGTAGCTATCGAGTTACCTTCGTTCAAAGTTAAAAAAGTTTCAGTGCAGCTTCTATCTTGAGACGTTTTGAGTTTTTTTTTAAGACTTTGAGCGAAGGTGTCTTGATAACCACCAAGCCAAATTCGATAAATTTTTTTTATTTTAGTTCTACATATTTGTAGGATTCAAATAAAAAAAAAGTTTATCAAATTTGGCTTAGTGGGTATAGAAAAACCTTCGCTCAAAGTTTAAAAGATGATATACAAAAAAGTGACAAAATCATGAATTATCACTGATCTACATCACGTGCTGCGGAAAAAATGTACTATGCCCTGGCCCAGTTCTACTTGAAAGACAATATCACTAGCAAATAGAGCTTAATACTTTAACCCAAAAAGACTCAGAAAAGATCAATATATACACTACTAAGTTTAAAAGACTACTTAGCAGAGTAAACACAAACAACTGTCTCCCTAATACGTATGTAGTAGAAATGCTTTTGAGCAGGTTAAAGAGTAAAAACGCTACCTTTGTAGCTGTGACAGCACCAAAGAATCTGAATAAAGCAATCACAGCAGCTAGACAAGTAGAAGCTGATAATTACTATAGCTAACAGTTAAAAATAAAACAACCCCAAAAGATAAATAGTGAATTAAATGATTTAAAAAGAAAGATCGATGAGATAGCTGTAAATTATGCTACCATAGCAGGAAAAATAACTCAAAGAAGGGATAATTACAAAAAAAGAAATATCTAACAAGACCAAAAAAAGAACCAAGAATACTATAGATGTGGTAAGTTAGGACATATATCTAGGTTTTGTCTCTCTGAAAAGCCCAAGCATTTAGTTAAAAACCAAAAGGGTACAAAAAGACTAGACAAAAGACCAAAAATCATAAACTATTGTGAAGTAAATGAAGAGATATTTACAATAAGTGATAAGCTGATATCTCAAAAATAATGAAACACCCTAATAAACCAAACTGGAATAAAAAGTTAAAAAAAAGAAAATTACCTGAAACCCAACAAGAAAAAGAGAGAAGAGATCAAAAAATAGAAATAATTAAAGAAAATCTCATCGGTATGAACTGTTATGGTTGGGATAGCTGCGGCTTGGTCACTCCACAATCCAAAAACTCATGTAACCTGCGGTAAGTAACCTTACGAAAGAGGCATGTTAGATTTGGCTAGTGGGTGATTAAGGCTTTAGTTACTTGAGGTCAACGAAAGTAGGTTAGTTAAGTCACGTGATAAAGGGTTCAGCAACAACGATGTTTATGACAGTTATATAGGGTTTATCAGAGTATAGTGTTAGTGTATTATTTATTGGGCGATTGTATAATAATTAGGACTTATTATTTAATAAAGCAATGAGTGAATACTGCTCTTTAGGGCCAATTCGGCCTTTATTTATAAGATGAAATTTAGTCACTCACAAATGCGACTTCACAACTAATATTTAATAAAACTATATAAAACTAATTATGTTTATTTTCTGTAATATTTTTAAGAATATTTAATTTCTACTAATATCCTCTCTTTATTCTCCCATATACTCCTTTAGATCTAATATGCTATTCCCAATCCAAAATGTAATTAATTGCACTTTGTGCATTTTTCACGTGACTAATTACTGGGTCCTCATGTTACATTCTGGGATTTACAGAAAAAACCTAAAAGTAAATGTGGACTCTTGGTGGTAGATTCTATCAAACCATATAATGTCACAGATGACATATCATCATTACCAGTAAGTGCAACATTTGGGCAAATACTACAATACCCAAACCAAAGAAAGAACTTAGCTGATATACTAAGGTGACCACTACTACTACGTGAGGCAAACTTCATAAATTCAGAAAAAATGCGAAGAACTACAGCAGCCCAATGCTATGTAAGAATTCATAATGATCTGATAATAGCAGTTCTAGACTCAGATGCAGCCATAAGTATCATGTCTAGTAAATTATTATATAAATTAGAGTTAGAAATTAACGATAATTCTATAAACATGGTAATAATAGCAACTGGTGTGTATGCAAAAACTCTGGGTAAAGTAAAAGATGTTGAGATAACTATTCAAGATATAATGGTACCAATTTTCTTACAAATAATAGAATCTCCAGAAGAAACTCTATTGTTAGAAACTGATTTATTCTAACAAGCCAACGCCCGACTATATTTTGATAGTCAAAAATTACACATATCGAATAATGATAAAGCAGTAAAAATCCCAATCTCTAATACAGGTATCGAAATACTCATATCAAGTTATGAAGAACAGGAATATAATAGTGATAGAGGTGATATATTTGATGAGTTTGACTATTAAGAGGATAACCTGGAAGAAATAGACGGGTATTTCACAAATGAATGGTTAGAAGTAGATGGTTAGCTATCAGATTAAAAAAGAGAAAGTAAAAAAAACCCAGCACTATTTCTTACTAATACAAAAGATCTCCCATTAAGGAAAAAGAAGGAAAGTCAGTAGTAAAAAGAATTCAAGAATACATAAACATCGATGTAATGACCCCAGACCAAGCAAAAGAATTTCTGATAAAGGAAAAGGCGTTGTTCACTAAAAACATAGACGATCTAGAAAAAACAAGTGTTATTATGCACATTATAAATACAGAAGATGCGACAGCAGTAAAACAAAGACTATATAGAATATCTCATGATGAGAATGAATTTGTAAAAACTGAGATTATTAAATTAAAATAGGGAAATTTAATAAGAAAGTCATATAGCCCTTGGGTTTCACTAGTAGTTATAGTACCAAAAAAGGGTGGCAAGCTATGATTTTGTATAAATTACCCCAAGTTAAATATGGTAACAAAAAGAGATTCATATTCTTTACCCATATAACAAACCTCCTTAATACCTTTAGAAATGTGGTGTAGTTTTCTACTCTAAATTTAATAAGTAGATACTGGCAAGTAGGTTTAAATGAAAAAAGATAAAGAAAAAATCACTAAATATGGCCTCTACAAATTTAACGTAATACCATTCGGTCTGTGTAATGTACCAGGAATGTTTCAA